GGTAGCGCCCCCCGGCGAGCGCCTGGTGGCCGGCCAGCCCATGTAACCTGGCCAGGCTCAGCCCGAAGAGGCAATGTGGGGAGACCATGTGGGCCCACCACCTGCATGGTCCAGCATGGGGGAGCGGTGCAGTGCCGTATAGGCAGTGGGAGATTGCGGGGGGGCCCTTGGTGGCCTAGGCCCCTGCGGCAGAAACTGGCTCTTGGTACGTGGAATGTAACCTCACTTGGGGGAAAGGAGCCGGAGCTTGCGCAGGAGGTTGAGAGGTACCAACTAGATATAGTTGGGCTCACCTCCACCCACAGTGTCGGCTCTGGAACCAAACACTCACGAGTCCCCGGCTGGCAGCCGTGCAGTTGGAGTTTGTCCCGGTGGACGAGAGGGTCACCTCAATGCGAATTAAAATCGCAGAGAGGAAAACTCTGACTGTTGTGTGTGCTTATGCACCAAACAGCAGGTCTATTTGGCCTTCTTGGAGCAAGTGGGCAGGGTTCTGGAAAGGGTCCCGCCTACAGACTCCATAGTCTTACTGGGAGACTTCAATGCTCATGTTGGCAATGACTGGGAGACCTGGAAAGGCGTGATTGGGAAGAACGGCCTGCCCGATCTAAACCCGAATGGTGAATTGTTATTGGACTTCTGTGCCAGGCATGGATTGTCCATAACGAACACCTAGTTCGAACACAAGGATGTTCATAAGTGTACATGGTACCAGAGCTCCTTGGGTCATAGGTCAATGATCGACTTTGTTGTCATTTCATCTGACTTGGGACCATATGTTCTGGACACTCGGGTGAAGAGAGATGCTGAGCTGTCAACTGATCACCATCTGGTGGTGAGTTGTATCAGGTGGCAGGGAAGACTGATGGTCAGACCCGGTAGGCCCAAGCGAATAGTGAGGGTGTGCTGGGAATGACTGTCGGAGGCCCCTGTTCGGAAAGATTTTAATTCCCAATTTCTCATGTCCCGGAGGAGATAGGGGACATGGAGTCTGAATGGACCCTGTTCAAAACCTCCATTGTGGAAGCTGCCGGGCGTAGCTGTGGCCAAAAGCTTGTTGGTGCCTGTCAGGGCGGTAATCCAAGAACCCCCTGGTGGAGGCCGTCAAGCTGAAGAAAGAGGCCTTTAGGGACTGGATGGCCTGAAGGACTCCCAACTCAGCAGATAGGTCAAAAAAGGTGGCAGCCGCAACGGTGGCAGAAGCAAAATCCAGGGCGTGGGAGGAGTTTGGAGAAGCCATGGAAAAAGACTTTAGGTCGGCCTCAAGGAGGTTCTGGACAACTGTCTGGCGACTCAGGAGCGGTCAGGGTGGCTGCGCCCAAGCTGTATTCGGCAGGGGTGGAGAAACTCTGACTTCAAATGAGGATATTGTCGGTCAGTGGAAGGAGCACTTTGAGGAACTCCTTAATCTGGGAGACATGCCTCCCTCACGGGAGTCAGGGCCAGAGGCTTCTGGCATGTCAAGCTCCATTTCCCTGGTGGAGGTCACTGAGGTAGTTGGCAAGCTCTTCAGTGGCAAGGCACTGGGGGTGGATGAGATTCGTCCGGAGATGCTTAAGGCTCTGGATATTGTGGGGCTGTCGTGGCTGGCACGCCTCTGCAATATTGCATGGACCTCAGGGAACAGTAACCTTGGACTGGCAGACCGGGGTGGTGGTCCCTATTTTTAAGAAAGGGGACCGGAGGGTGTGTGTCAACTATCGGGGTATCACACTGCTCAGCCTCCCTGGGAAAGTCTATGCCAAGGTGCTAGAAAGGAGACTTCGACCGATAGTTGAACCACGGTTTGAGGAGGAACAATGTGGATTCCGTCCCGGCCGTGGAACAAGGGACCAGCTTTTCACCCTCTCACGGATTGTTGAGGGGGCATGGGAATTTGCCAACCCAGTCTACATGTGTTTTGTGGATTTGGAGAAGGCTTACGACCGTGTTCCCCGAGATATCTTGTGAGAGCTGTGTTCGTATACTCGGCATTAAGTCGGACTCTTTCAGTGGGACTCGGCTAGCGTTGGACTCCGCCAGGGTTGTGCCCTGTCTCCACTCCTGTTCGTGATATTCATGGACAGGGTGTCAAGGTGTAGCCGTGGTCAGGAGGGCATTATGTGTGGAGGCCGGAGGGTGGTGTCTCTGCTATTTGCAGACGATGTTGTTCTTTTGGCTGGATCACATGGATGCCTCTAGCGCACACTGGAGCAGTTTGCAGCTGAGTGTGAAGCGGTTGGTATGCGGATCAGCACCTCCAAATCTGAGTCTATGGTCTTAGCCCGGAAAAGGATGGCATGCCCACTCCAGGCAAGGGGAAAGGACTTGCCCCTTGTGGAGGAGTTTAAGTATCTCGGGGTCTTGTTCACGAGTGATGGGAAAAGTCAGATCGTGGTTCATGTTTATCCTTTTCATTCTTTTATATGAGTCGTTAACAATTCGCTTGACCTTCTGCGGTGCAGTTACAAGCAAGACACACTGTGCAAATTTTGAACTTATTAAACTCTCTAAACATCACAATTAACAGCATAGTTGGGCTTTCAAATGTCTATTTTTATGTTTCCTCAGATCCTCATGATATTGTTTTCTTATGCACAGATTTTGCGAGTGTGCATTTATTCTAAAGAATCTAAAATAAAATTCAAACCTGTACACCTCACCTTCTCGCTGTTTTGAATTATTTTGTTGGAATTTTCTTTGAGATTTTACAAAGTCACTTCAATATTAGCTATTTGCCTTATGACTTTCATGTCTGTATATTTTATGATAGTCCCACCTCTGTTCAACCCTATCATATATGGTATGAGTGGTCGGGCGATAAGACGTCATATTTGGCGAATTTTCTTCCGTAGAAAGGTGACTGTGTTAAAACGTTAAGCAATGAAGTGAAATACTTTTGAATTGTTATGCTCATGCTTGGCAAAAATAGAGAGATGAATAAGGTTAAAGACTAATACACTAGTAAAACACTAAAACTGTTTGTACTGCCATTGTTGTTATTATTATTAGTAGTAATAATAGTAGTGTTTTAGTATATAGGAAGGAACATTCCCAGCTCACCATGGAGTCTCCATAGCTAGGTGCCATCTCCTTCATCAAACTCTTCATTCAAAATGTATTTGTTACCATTGTTACATTTTAGTGTTTATTTTGAATATACAGTAGTAATATTTGGATTTATTCTTCTAATCTATTGTATATTTCCTTGTAATTAAAAAAAAATAAAAGACATGGGGTATGAGGAGTAAGATATTCCAATAAGGAAAAAATATATATGCATGTGCATATTTTTTGTTTGTAAGCAAACACATTTTGAAGAGCAATAAGATCACAGCATAAAAAAAATCATTTAAGGAAAATGGCCTGTTCAGAGGTCTAGCATTCACATCACTCATAAAACGTTGTCATGATAAAAAGCAAGACCAGTTTACTTCCTAATAAATTAGGCCACCTTGAATTCTAGATTATATAATCTTGTTTGTAAACACAATATTGTTGGGACATCTGCCTTTTTTTGTGAATCACCAAACCAAGGCACACGTCTAAGAATTCAAACGTGGGTATAAACTCTATTGGTAAACATGTAAAATACCTGATTTTGCTGAGCTCACTGAATTAATCAGACCTCGGAAAGGATGCACCCTAACTCATCTTTTAATATTGTGGGAATGTTTGTATTGTAGCAAGGTGAAAATGGAGCCACTTGAATTGTCCCTTCAAATTGCATCTGTTGGCCTCTGCATTTCAGTCTGAAAAATTAAGAAAAAAAAAAATTGTCAAAAGTACTGAGACATTACTGAATAAAACTTTACTTAAACACTGATCAAATGCTTTGCTTGCTTAAGAGCAGACTAGAGCAGCACTACTGGCCTGGAGGCCGTGTTCATTCCCCAGCTAAGGAGGGCCATCAAACACATTTGTTTTTTGCTAAATAAAAATCTATTCCTATTTAAAACATATAAATTCAAAAATCAATACATTTGATTCAACACAGCCTAATCCCATAGCTTTGTTATTGAACCAAATGAGCTTTCAAACCCAAATACATCAAATCTATGCAGCAAAATAAACATGACTAGTGAAAAGATGTTGTGTCAAACACTGGCAAATTGTAGATGCAGGATCTCAGGATCTCAACAATTGTCTTCTGTTAGGAACTGATCAACAACAGCTGTTTACATGTACTGACATATTTCAATAATAAATGTAATGCACAAAGAGAATTGGACCAAGGGATGTTTATCAATTCAAGAGCTTCAAACTTCATAGACCCTCCCATTTCCCAGAGTTATAAAAGTCAGCTTGACAGCAAACCATTTCATTTGACCATCTCTTCTCCTGTTTGAACAACAGCTGTGCAGAGTAAAATATCTCTTGTATTCTATTATCATATTAGCTCTGTTATGTATTACTCAGGTTTAGTTACTTTGTCTAAGTAATGTTGGTGATTTAGTTGATATTGATTTAATTGATTAATTGATATGTTCTTCTTAAATTTAAAGAAAATGCACTACATGTTTGTTAGTTTAGCATAAATGTAGAAATATGCAGCACAAATCTTAATATGTTACAGAGAATTACAAGAGTCAAGATCTATGTTTAAGTTGAGATGCACTGTTTCTTTGAAAATGGAAAGAGTCAGAGATATATAACAGTGCTGAACATAATTACCAGTTGTATTAATTAGTTCACACATGTCAGATGTATTAGCCTTACAAGAAATAGTGCTTAGGGGCAGAAAATATCTAAACAACAATGCCTTAAAATGAGCTGTTTGTAAAATATCTTGAATATCTTTCAGTACTCTGCTGACAAGTGTTCCAAGTCTGCAGCTTCAGTCATGCAGATCTAGAGCACTTGGATTACCTTGCTATAAAGTACCATATGTGCAAAAGAGCAACTGAATATATATGCCTAGATATATTTGATGTGTCTAGATGCATTTATGTTTAAAAAACTGCAACATAATGTACTCATTTTTTCTTTTTTTCAGAAAAATAGAAAAATTACAAACTACTATGGAAAACATATCAACTTTTACAACATTCATTCTGGATGGTTACGCTATCATGGACCAGCAGAAGCATTTGTACTTCATTGTTTTCCTTTTTCTCTATGCTGCAATTTTTCTACTGAACTCACTTCTGATTGTAGTCATCTACTGTGAAAGGACATTGCATGAGCCTATGTATATCTTTGTGTGCAATCTATCATGTAATGCCTTCTATGGTAGCACAGGTTTGATTCCTCATATTTTATTTAACCTCGCTACTCAGCTGCATAAGATATCTCTGGCAAATTGTCTAATACAAATATTCTGCCTGCACACTTTCAATATTATTGAACTAACTATATTAGCTTTTATGGGCTATGACCGATACATTGCAATTTGTCACCCACTGCATTATCACACCATTATGTCTCAAAGAAAACTTAAGATTTGTGTGATATTTACCTGGGTTTATCCTTTCAGTTCTTTTCTGTTATATGAGTTGTTAACAATTCGCTTGACCTTCTGCGGTGCAGTTATAAGCAAGACACACTGTGCAAATTTTGAACTTATTAAACTCTCTTGCACAGACATCACAATTAACAGCATAGTCGGGCTTTTAACTATGTCTATTTTTATGTTTCCTCAGATCCTCATGATATTGTTTTCTTATGCACAGATTTTGCGAGTGTGCATTTATTCTAAAGAATCCAAAATAAGAGCGATTCAAACCTGTACACCTCACCTTCTCTCTGTCTTGAATTATTTTGTTGGAATTTTCTTTGAAATTATACAAAGTCGCTTCAATATTAGCTATTTGCCTCATGACTTTCGGACGTTCATGTCTCTATATTTTATGTTATGCCCACCTCTGTTCAATCCTATTGTTTATGGAATGAGTGGTCGGTTGATAAGGAATCATGTTCGTCGAATTTTCTTCTGTAGAACGGTGACTGTGTTAAACATCAAGTATTGAAGTTAAATATTTTTTAAATGTTATGCTTATGCTTGGTAAAAATAGAGAGACCCAGCTGAGTGTCATCTCCTTTATCAAACTCTTTATTCAAAACATGTTTAATTAGATATGTTACATTTTAGTCTTTTAAATAAACAGTAGTTAAATTTGGATTTATTTTTCTAAACTGTTGTTAATTTCCTTGTAATTGAAAAAATAAAGGACTTGGGGTAGCCTGTGCACATTTACCATTCATAGACAAGCAAATTTTAAGGTATGATACTATCACAGCATGTTTTTCATAAAAAACAAGGTCTAGCTGGGCTATAAAATGTGGTCATGATAAAAACCAGTTCACTTCAAAATAAATTAGGCCACCTTGAATTCTAGAGTAGATAATGCTGTATGGACACCTACCATTTTTGTGAACCACCAAACCAATTCACAAATGTGAGGATTCAAACATATGTTCAACATCTATTGGTAAACATGTAAACACCTCATTTTACTGAGTTGATTGAAATAATCACCTCAGGAAGGACAAATGCAAACTCATCTTTTAATTTTGTAGTGAACAGGGTGAAAAAAGAGCCACTTGATTTGTCCTTTCAGATTGCATCTTTTGGCCTCTGCATGAGTTCTAACAATTAAGAAAAGTATCAAAAGTACTGAAACATAACTAAAACAACTCTATATTCAAACACTGACCAAAGGCTTTCCTCGCTGAAGAGTATGCTAGAGCAGTGTTTCTCAATCCTGGTCCTGGATGCCCGCTGCCCAGCTGTTTTTAGTTTTTTTTCCCTGCTTCCAACACACCTAATCCAACAAATCACTTCATCAACAGCACAATACTGAGTAACAGTGGCTGTGTTAAAGCAGGAAAAGCAGTCAAATGTGCAGGGCAGTGGGTCACAAAGACCAGAGTTAAGAAACATTGTGCTAGAGCAGCACTATCGGCCTGGTGGCCGTGTTAATTCCCCAATTACGGAAGACAATTAAACACATTTGTTTTTTGCTAAATAAAAGATATATTAATATTTAAAACATACGTTAAAAGAATCAATAGAGTTGATTCAGTACAGCTGTATTATCGAAATAAATGAGCCCCAAACCCAAAAGAAGAAGAGAGAAGAGGCTGTGTCAAACATTGGCACGTTTATACTGGACCACAAAGGGTACACACAGTGACCCGACACTATCCAGATTATGGCTCCTGCATGTATGCCTGGCTGGCTCCTCACTGATGACGGACTATGGCATTGAAGCTATATGCAAAGTGCACCGATATGCATACCTTGCAGCCAAACAGAAGCTCCTGAATGGTAGTGCTGCATACCCACAAAATTAGTGGCAGATGGTGGTCCTATTCTGATGGGCAGCTGCACGGTCAGGATATGGTTAAAATGTTCCATTATAGCTCTGGAAATGCAGATGTGGTTGGTTCAGAGAGTGATATCAGCCTCACAGAGTTAAGCCCTGCTACCACTGCCAGGAGCTCTTGCTGTGAAACACAATAGTTTCTGCTTTGCTGAGCCAGTTGACTCTCTCTATCTTCGTTTTTGGACCTGTAAGAAAACAGTGTAATGCTGTTATAAATGGCATCAATGTCGAGATTTAAGTGTGGTGAGGGAACACCAACAACACCAACACAGGACCTCGCTTCAGGAGTGTTTTTTTACATTTCATATAAAACATGAGGCAATAGGATGGTGTGACAATGTTGGCAAAGCCCCTGATCAATCAGTAGTACTAAGATGCAAGACCCAAATACTTCACTTCAGTGGTGACCAGAGACCCGGTGACTTCTACCTTTTCTGAGTGTGTGGTGACAGATGGGTTTGTTAAAGAGGCTAAACATTATCACTTGCATGTGCTATAGGCCCCACTCAGGGTGAACTTCTCCAATGAGAGGTCAGTGGTGTTGTTATTGCAAGGTGGTGGGTAGACGTCTGTCTTGGTGACTATGTTGAACCGCCTGTAGTTCTCACAATGATGAAATATATCAATAAAGAGTCCTTATGGATCAGTATTACATTCTGAATGTGTGTGCACGCTCGCTCAGAAACGACACTGCCTCCAACTATAAAGACAACATCATGCTTATTTTATATAGTGATAGAAAACGTGGTGTGGACATGCACACATTGCAACTACTCTTTTATTTTTGGTGAAAGGAAACATTGCTAAAGTCTCTGAATGCATTGCCAATGAGATGTTAGGTAAGATAGGATTAAGGCCCACCTCAACTTCTTTACCTACCTGTATGCTGTGCAGTCCTCACATTGGACTGTATACATAAACAAACATCAAACTGATTCCACTGAGGACTACCTGTGTACAGTATGTCCTAGTTCAGTGAACTTGGGGTGGGGCCCTGGAGTTCTTGCTTGGAGTTATTAAAGCGAAAGAATGAGTCTTTTTACAGAATAACTAAAGGTTTATTACAGCATAAAATAGGATTTTATTATAGTTTGTTCTATTTGCAGGGGACCGTAGCATGTGCAACAGTCTTTATTGAGTTGTAGGATACCCTGATGGCAAACCTTATACTGGTGAATCCACACTTCTCAAAATCATTATTATACATAGAGGCACTGGGGAGTGGGCCTCAGTGCTGTGCTGCTGCAGAGGGATTAGGAAAGAAGACCCATGCTTTTTATCAGCTAAATGCTACTTCCTCATGAGCAACGTTACTGTGCATGGGCATAAAATGGGACATTTCTGGACCAGAGAAAGACAATAGCAAAGCTGATTTAGTTTTGTTCAATAAAGCTCCAACCAGGAGAGGGTGCAACACATGGAGACGAGTGATGAAACCAAGTTTGCACTCATCACAGAAGTGTTGCCACCTTCTCCTTTTCCACAATGGCAACAATTAACATTTGACGCTACAGACTCTCGTATCATTTTAGCACCACAAGTTGCTACTAATAACTGCAATCAAGCAATTTAAAGCATTTGATTTTGATAATATTTTTTTGATTGGTGAGACCAGGCACTGGTAACCTTGGTTAAATTCAAAATTACACATAATTAAACCAATCAAACAAAAAGTAGTAGAGATCAAGTACTGTTTATTTTATTACTCTGATTTTGATACATGTAGCTGTTAAGTGGTGCATTTTTCATGCAATATAATGGGTGGGATTAAGGGGAGATTTTGACACAGTAGCCATACTTTCACTTAAGAAGTCTTTTTGCACTTTCTACACCCCTGGCAGTACTTGGTATTTTATGGCCTCTGCTGAATTTATAATTTTCTTCATGCATCTTTCTATTAGTGATTAGCTTAGCCCAACATGTTTGTAAGCTGTATACATTGTCTGAGAGCCCCCTGTGGTTGCAGTGGAATCCAGAAGACTCCAGTGTTACAGTATGGTCCAGTTTTTTTGTGCCTGTGTCATGGACATGATTTCTATGGCTTACAAGCCTGTCCAACAACACCAAACCTGATATCTTGTCATTCCTTCTCGCTGAAGGAGTTTCACTGGCGGATTTCTGTGAGTGGTCATCAAGCTCCACACAGAGCTGTCAGATTTTCTAAACTCAGCATGGCCTCCACCCAGACTGAAAGCTTGACTATGCTAACTACCTTGCACTTCAAAGCTTTCTTTTGCTCATGCTTTTTCTGGCATTTAATGGCACCATAATATCTTCTAGAAAGAAAATGTTTATTATTAGGGCAGTTTTTTTAGGCATGCCTACTTTGTACCTGCACTGATTGCCCATTTTATTAGACACATCCAGCAGTAGCTCATTTTGTACTGGACCACCATAGGGTGTTCATCTGCTGCTGTTTCTGTAGTTACTGCTGAACAGTCTCAGGCAGATTCTTCATAGTGTCATAATATACACTATACGGACAAAAGTATTGTGACACCTACACAAGCTTATATGACATCCCATTCTAAATTCATAAGCATTAATATGGAGTTGCTCCCCCCTTTGGAGCTATAACAGCTTCCACTTTTCTGGGAAGCTTTCTACAAAATTTTGGAGTGTGTCTGTGGGATTTTCGTCCTTTAATCTTGAACAGCATTAATGAGGTTCTAGTTCATCCCGAAAGTGTTCAACAGGTTTGAGGTCAGGGCTCTGTGCTTGCCAGTTCTTCAACACCAAACTCACCCAGCCATGCCTTTATGGACCTTGCTTTGTGCACTGGGGCACAGCAATGCTGGAACAGAAAAAGGACCTTCCCTAAACCGTTCCCACAAAGTTAGAAGCATACATTTGTCCAAAATGTCTTGGTATGATGAAGCATTAAGATTTCCCTTCACTGGATCTAAGGGGCCTGCTGATGTAAGGCTTTCATGTGGTTACCCAGCCACTGAAACCCATGTCATGAAACTCCCGGTCCACAGTTTTTGTGCTGATGTAAATGCCAGAGAAGGTTTGGAACACTGCAGTTATTGAGTCAGCAGAACATTGACAACTTTTATGCACTTTGCGCCTCAGGCCTCGGCGACCTGCTCTGTAACTTTACGTGGTCTGGGTTGCTGGGGTTCAATGAGCAATGAGACTGAACGAAACACCTGAATTCAGTGATTAAGAGGTGTGATCCACATAGTCCATATAATGTATGTATATTTTTTTAACAACAGGTGGCAGCAGAGGCATGTTAAAATGACCAGGAATAGGGCTTGATCATTGAAAGCCATTAAGCCATGTTAATCTCTGACATTAATCACTAACATTCAGTTTGGTGGAATCACAGATGGGTTTGGTGGAAACTCAGCTTTCAGGCAAATACAACGTAACACACTGGCCATTATTCTTCATTCATAAAAATATATTGTGAATTTGAAGTAAATAAATAAATTGCCAATAAATTATGCATATACCATACATGTAATTTAATGTTAAAGTTCATTTGATTAGTTCACCTCAATTGTGTTGCACTGGTATGAGTGAATCAGACACAGCAGTGCTGCTGGAGTTTTTAAACACTGTGTCCACTTATTGTCCGCTCTATTGGACATTCCTACCTTGTCGGTCCACCTTGTAGATATGAAGAGATCATA